GAGGCAGAGTTGCTCTGCCCCAGGCTTCCTGGAATCAGCGCTCATCAGTTTCAGCAGCAGCTGACTTGGGGAAGCTTGGGGTTCTTAAGTTGAATCTGTAAGTAAGTCAGAACTGGCGGGCAGTTTCCGCAGCGGCTGAATCTGGATGCCAGTTCCGACTTACATACAGATTAAACTTAAGAACAAACCTACAGTCCCTATCTTGTACGTAACCCAGGGACTGCCTGTACCTCTGTCTGTGGGTATGGCCACTTGCATCTTCCATTGGCTGCGGGTTGCCGTTTTTGGAAAATGGAAGCTGCAGGACATGGCACAGATCGGGACACTGCTTCCCACAGATCCCATTGGCTGAGAACTTTAGCTAAGTGATGACTAAGGAGCAGCGACTTTGTGTTCAGGCTCGGTCTTCAAACATGAGATTCTTCCATGGGAAGAAGGGAACAAGAGAACCCAAAGGAGCAATTTGTATTTCTATAATATGGGGATTTGGGGTAGTTTTCTTTGCATAACTGATATACGTGTTGGGTTCCAATTAGTCTTCTAGATTGACACTTATGAATTAACACTGGTGGGGCTCACACTTTGTTGCTTCTTTAGACTGTGCTAAATGGCAAACACAGATGAGGCTCCTTGCATCCCACCGTTCTATTCCTCACCCCCAAGTTCTCGGTGTGCTACTCTTCCATCCCACTCTGGCATATGGGACTGAGGCTTCCCCACTTCTTTCTCATAACAGGAATTTTGTGTGCCCCGCCTCAATTCTCCTGTCCCTCTATAGTAAGTTTCCCCGTTCGCCCACAATGCTAGGAGATGACAATATGCACCCCCATTCCCTCCTTCCTCCCATACTAAGGTCTTCCACTCTCCCCCTGCCAGGAATCTGTCTGTCTCCCACCCCCTTCCTCGCATCTCATGTCAAGGGCCCTGTGTGAAACCCCATTTCGCCCATGTCAGGAGCCCTGTGCCTCTCTCCCATTCTGGGGCTCTGTGTGCTCCTTCCTTCTCCAATCTTTTTTTATTTTTCTCCTTTATGTCCAGGAGGAAAGTCATTCAGGATGTCAAAATGTTCAACTATAAACTCTACTGGGAGGATAAGCAGAGATGAGCAGGAGTCTTGTTATGCTACAAAGACATCAATAGGTGGCATCAACAATTTTGATTTTTACAATTCCAACACTGCATGAAGCTAGGGATCTGATGAACAAATGACAGGGCCTCTCTGGACCTTCCATTTCCCCCATCCAATTTTCCACTCTCCCTCCACAAATCAGTAGAGTTCTACCCATGGGTTACTATAACATTCTCTGAAAAGTTGAAACTGATGCAGCATTCAAAAGTTACGGTGTTACAGCCAAACAAAGAGAAATGTCATCGGTTGAATGCAGCGCCTTGCAATTTCAATTATATACGGTTAGGATTTTTTAAATGGGGCTTGGGTTGGACAAAGCATATGGTGAGTTTTATACAGATTAACCCCAGCAAAAGCAAAACTGCATGTCTAATATCTTACCCATGTAACTCAGTAAGTTTGTATTTAATTTCAGTCTTCTGTTCATGGCTGAGCTGCCGGCAGAATCTGAATTGGTGAAGGGCTATTGCCATGGCCCGTAGGGATATTCCATCGCGTATAATTGCTGGAGGTAAATGGCAGATTAGATTTCCAAGTATGTCCACGTCATATTCATCACCAATGGAACCATTCTGAAACAAAGAGGCCAAAATTGATGTATTTACTTGGTTAGCAGATTTAATAACAAGTATTCTACTGCACAGCTAAACAGTACCTCAATATATTCAGCCCAGGGTGGCCGGTTTGTAGAAGTGTTGGTGCTGCCCAGAATGGATCCAAGTCCCCCACACCTGCCTAAGGCTCTGAGAGGGAGTTTGTGTGGAGGAGGGATGGGGGCTCTGGGAGGGAGTTTGGGTTCAGGAGGAGGTCTAGAATGCATGCTCTGGGAAGGACTCTGGTGCCGGATGCAGGCTCTGGGATGGGGCCAGGAGTGGGAGTGCAAG